TCCCATGCTAGCTACAAAGGGAGAATAAGGGGGGCGCCTAACCCGTTTCGACGGTGTGTCCCGTGGTCGTTGTCGCATTGACCCACGATACGAGATGAGCGTCATTTGGCTTGGCGTTGCTGTCAAGCAGATCACCGGTTGGAGCCGCACGCCGCAAACGCCGTCGACGCCGTTGGGCGCAACTGTTTCGAATAGAGCCATTGAGCTCAAAGACTCGGGACGGACTCGAATTTGCACACTGAGCGCCGCAATCATGGCATCCCACGCTCGTTGCTTCTCCCTGCATGGCGGTGATAGGCCAGCGATAGAGGCATCCTCCATTCCAGCAACTGATTCATGAACCCAGGCTTGTGTTCCTAATCCTGTCCCGCTGCAGCGCCATTATCAGGTTTCCTTTTTTCTCGACGCCTTGGCTGCACCATTATTGATTCCCTTGCCGCCCGTTCCGCCCGTTCCGCGAGGCATCAACCATCCATCTCGCGGCCTCGTGGTGAGCGCGTGGTTTTTGTCCTGGTGGTGGGGAGTCCTGGGCGATGCTTCGCTGCGTCTGCATGCACTGCGGTCCAGCCCTAGGCTGCGCTCGCTGGGCAGGCTGCACAATTGTTACTCAGCTGCCAAGTGCCGTGCGGGAAACCTGCATCCGCTCGCGTGGCCGAATCAGAAAAGTCGGGACAGAGATATCAGGTGGTGTTGAGGAATAAGGTGCACACCGCATTGCCTTCCCTCCACAGATGGATGATGTCTTTCTGGAGGATCGAGATTGACGAGGATGGGTTCTCGCGGGGAGACTTCAGCGGAGCCTGGCAGCCGGGTCTTCATCTCGGGGGGTCTCTTGGGCTGCCGAGGAAAAACATCTCCAGACGTTTCGGCCTTCCAGAACGTCGAAGCTCGAAAAGGGTATTTTTACCCGGCCAAGCAGATATCTGGTATCCACCTGATTTCCCATCAGACGAGAAATCCGCGCTTCAAAAGACCCTATTGAAACCATCGTGGAGACATGTTACAGGCAGCGAGGGAATCCAGTCAGTGCGGTGACATCCCATCAAGCACTGACTAAAAAGGTGGGGAGGCAGTGCGCAGGCACAAGAAGCAGCGGCGCGGCTGCGAAGAGCCTCGTGCTTTTTACCTACGGATTAAGTAACTAGCGATTGAAGAAGCAACTCACCAATCGGCAGCCAAGTCGGTCACGTCACCCTGGGCTGGTGCCATTCCGGTGTGGGAAATATCGAGCGCCTTGGCTCTGGTATCTTCAGACTACGGGGTATTTCTTGCGTTTCCGTTGAAGAGTAACGCCGAGTCTAGGGCTGCACAGACGATAGCAGCGGGAGTAGCTCAGGGGCCAAGTCGGGTTGAGGCGCCTTGAGTTTCGGCAAGAACAGAGGTGAAGACAATGGATTGATGCGTTGCTTGTGTGAGAGACGCGTCAACGTAGTTGTCAGCGATGGAATCGGCGTGTGTGTTGACTTTGCAACTCAGAAAACCAGCCGCCCGCCCGCTGTCGCGACGATTGTGGAGCCTGGAAAGGGGGAGTTGCACCTGCCAACTTGCCTGGAAATGGAATGCTACCCCGACCGTACCCGCCAAGAAAAGCTTAATCCGATCAATTCCCTCTTCAGCCGACGACCGCAGCTGCGAACTCCCCACCGCCAGCGCGCCCAATACTGCGCAGACAACTCGAAAGAAGAGAAGAAAAAGAAGAAAAGTGGGTGTGATGCGGCGGGCGTGATGGGGGCTGACTGAAGTCCGCACAGCTAGGTTGCGACATTCGTCGACGGCGCGGGCCAATCCGAGGTGCATCGCGACGCCAGTTCGAGGCGCATGGCAGCAAGCTTGCTGTCAGTGTCTGCGGAGTCGACACACCCAGATTTTGGTTCTCCACGACTACGCCGCTTGGCGGGGGGGTTGACCCCATCTCCGAGGGCTTCTTCTCCTTCAGCGGCTTTGTTTAGTTTTTCGTTAGCTCGGCGGTTTCGAACGAGCTGGCGAGATGAGGTCTGGACGGGGCTTCTATTATTGACATTGACGTCGTCGTGGAGCCGCAATTCTTCGCAAGGACCGAGAACAAACCAACATCACTGTGCGACGGGGTTTCGGCTTGTTGCGGCGGGGGAGGTGCAAAAGATGGCTACCTGGAATGCAAGCTGCCGCAGTTAGACCACTTGCCCGCCACGCGATGCGCAGTCGAGAATGTGGTTGAACAGCAAAAAAGCTGGCAGGCTGTTGGTGCAACCACACCAGTCACGGCACCTGTTGGTGTCGAGCATCCAGTCAGAAGTTGAATCCCTGCTGACGGCATGCAAGACAACGCCCGACACTCGGGGGAGGGGGGGAGGCCGGTGTCAGCTCCCGGGGCCCGGCTACCAAAACCAAAACTCATGATCCCCTGTCTTCGCATTGCCTAGCGCGCTCCAGGTCGCATGGCCGATCTCTGTGAGCTCCAGCCCTCCGCTGTTACCTACTTATTATGGGGCTCCCCCGTCCTCTCCCCACGTTCGTTTTCGGTTTCTCTCCGTCGGATGACGCGTGGGTGTTACATTGTGTCTCGTTGTGTAAGTTACCGTTGAGCTCTTGGACTGAACGTCATGCCCACGACGGCTCTTGGTTTGTGAGATACCACCGACGCTTCTGCCGTCTCTTCTGTCTCACGATAAAGGCCCCGATAATACCCCAATAGCCCCTCATACAATCTCAAAATGGGTATGGGCGCTGTGGGCTTTGTGCCCATCCAGGGTACCGCCGATTTGTCAAGGATTGAAGCTCCCGTCACAGTCAAGGCGTACCTGATCTGCGCTTTTGCTGCCTTTGGCGGCGTCTGTAAGTTTTCTTGTCTCCTAATGAATGGCACAAAACTGACTTACATCCCAGTCTTTGGCTATGACACGGGCTGGATGGGAGGAGTGGTCATCATGCCCTACTTCGTCAGCATGTACACGGGCATCCCTTACAACTACGAGACCAATGAGCCCAAGAACTTCGCCCTGCCGTCGTCGACCGTTTCTCTCATGACTTCGATTCTCTCGTGCGGCACCTTCTTCGGCTCACTGATCGCCGGAGATCTTGCTGACTTTGTCGGCCGTCGCACCACCATTATCTACGGGTGTCTTGTTTTCTGTGTCGGCTGCATCATGCAGGTTATCTCGACTAACCAACTCGTCCTCTTTATCATGGGCCGTCTCGTTGCAGGCCTCGGCGTTGGCTTCATCTCGGCCGTCATCATTCTCTACATGTCCGAGATTGCGCCCAGGAAGGTTCGTGGTGCTTTGGTTTCTGGCTATCAGTTTTGCATCACGCTCGGCATCCTGCTGGCGAACTGCGTCACGTATTCGACCTCGGGGCGGAGCGATTCGTTGTCGTACCGCATCCCCGTTGCCATGCAGTTCCTGTGGGCTCTCATCCTGGGCGTTGGTCTCTATCTCTTGCGTACGTTCCTCTCCTTCCTCACCAGGCTCAATCCTAACAAGAACAGCCGAATCACCTCGTTACCACGTCCAAAAGGGCAAACTCGACCTCGCAGCCAAGGACCTCGCCATCGTCCGTGGCCAAGCCGTCGAATCCGAGTACATCAAGGACGAACTGGCCGAAATCGTAGCCAACCACGAGTACGAAATGCAAATGATCCCCCAGACCAGCTACATCGGCTCCTGGATGGCCTGCTTCCAAGGCTCCCTCAGCAAGGGCAACTCCAACCTCCGCCGCACCCTCCTCGGCGCAGGCATGCAAATGTGCCAACAACTCACAGGCATCAACTTCATCTTCTACTTTGGCCCTGTCTTCTTCAACCAAATCAAAAACGGCCCCAACCCCTTCCAAACCACTCTCGTCACCACCCTCGTCAACGTCCTCTCCACCCCGCTTTCCTTCTGGACAATCGAAAAATTCGGCCGTCGCCTCCTCATCATCATCGGCGCCATCGGCATGATCATCGCGCAGTACATCGTCGCGATCCTCGGCGTTACGGCCGGCGCCGAACGCCCCGACGGCTCCCACAACGAAGCCGCCATCAAGGCCATGATCGCCTTCATCTGCATAAATATCTTTTCCTTCGCCACCACCTGGGGCCCCGTCGGCTGGGTCATTGTCGGCGAGTCGTTCCCTCTCCCCATCCGCTCGCGCGGCGTGGGCATTTCCACGGCCAGCAACTGGTTCTGGAACTGCATTATCGGCACCATCACCCCCTTCATGGTCGGCAACGACGAAGGCGGGCTGGGGTCCAACGTCTTTTTTGTCTGGGGATCCCTCTGCTTTTTGAGCTTGAGCTTTGCGTACTTCTTGGTTCCGGAAATGAAGGGGCTCACGCTGGAGCAAATCGACCAGATGATGGAGGAGGTCGAGCCGCGCAAGTCGAGGGGGTGGGTTGCTACGACGACGTTTGCGGCGGAAATGGGACACTTGAGGCCGGAGAAGGGAAATTACCTCGTCAGTCCGCACTTGCCGAACCAGCCGGCCGAGTTTCCGGAAGAGGGCGCGAGGGGGTTCAGGGAGGAGTTGCCGGGCTATGATAGGGCTTATTTTCCGAGGTGAATGATGTTGTGAGGATTGGGTGGCTATCTGCTTGCAGTGGTTTGGATGTGTAATGGCTAAGTTAATACCCAGGTGTAGGATCAATGTGGAAGGGGGAAAAGGCTTGGAGGCGAACTGTATTATAACTCCGACGACGTACTATTTACTATTACTTACCTACTGTCAAGTACTTAATATCATGCTGATAGCTACCATTCCGTTCTTGTGTGCCATTGGTGTTGAGGTTGAAGATCAAAAGGGGCTCTCCCTTCAACCCCCCTGACAACGCCTCCCGCCGCCTGCAGACAACTAGTGGATCTCCCCAAAAGAAAAGAGAGACATGTCAGGCGCCAAAAGAAAGACAAGCCGAGGCCTGCATGAAGAATGGGAAAAAGAAAAGAAGCGGGAAGACCCTGGAGATCCCCTGATGCAGGGTCAGGGGAGAAAGAAGAAAAAAGAAGAAAAAAGAACACATCCTCGCATGTCGTCGACGGGAATTGAGCCCGACGTGGGGGTCGAACCCACGACCTTGAGATGAATCTTGTGAGAATACACTGGATAAGAGTCTCACGCTCTACCGATTGAGCTAGCCGGGCGAGCTTGTGATGTGTTGTTGGGAGAGGGTGCGGGAATTTTGGGTTACAAGTCTGGGAATGGAGCCAAGGCGGGCTGGATGATAATTTTGAGTTTTACCCGCGAGTAAGGGAAGGGCCCACTGTGAGTGGAGAGGATGTAACACTTGGAAATGCTTGGTTTGGGGAGGGAAAGCTTGTTTGTGCTTGTTTGGGTTTGCCTTGATTGCAGGTTGCAGACTGCTCGGTGGGAGATTCATGTACAGTTATGTTTTCCCGGTGAGTGAAGGGAAGGAACCTACCCACCACCCCCTGAATAAAGCCAAACAAACTCTCATGGTATTACTACCTCGCTGTCGATTCCCCTCTCTCATCCGGCACTGAGCAGACGTCGTCGGCATCCGGCACCAAAGACGTCAATTTGTCTCATCAACTGCTTCGCCACAATCAGATTGCCTCATCGTAACACCAGGGAGCCAGAGCCATCTCGATATTACCCGGCAACAAGCAGAACCACCCATGGTTGCCGCCACAGTGTCTAAACCCACCAATGAGGCAAGAGATCACGCTACCAAAACATCAGAGAGCAGACACAGCAGGACAAGCACTAGCTACAACAACGGGTGAAAGCAGCTCGCTTCGACGTACCCGTGCACGGTAGCACCCGGAACCCGGTTCTTCTCTCTGATGTGCTCCAGAATTAGCACTCGCCATATTGGCGATCCAATGAGATGGACTTCGAACAATATGGAGGCATTTGGACATTGCCCGAGCCTCTGGTTCAGTGGAACAGTCCATCGCGGATACAACACCATAAGCTTGTAACCAGCGGCATCATGATATGATCCGCGTACAACCCGCTGCACTTGCAGTGGTACGGAGAGTGAGCACTGCCTCACGGTAGATCGTCGAGTTGATATCTCCGCCAGACAACATTCCAGTCACTCGACCATATAAGACACCAAGACACTCACCAAACTCCCCTCTCCTCTCACCTTCAACCAGCAGCTTCACTCGAAGCCATCTAATCCCACCTCATCCCCATCTCATCACCGCTCTCTTAACGCCTAAGCAAAATGAAACTCCCCATCCTCCTCCTCTCCCTCCTCCCCTCCGCCCTCACCACCCCCTCCCTCTCCCCCGCCGACCTCTCCCTCCGCGCCTTTGAGCAATCCTACCTCAACACCCTCTCCTACACCCTCCCCAACACAACCATCAAACTTATCGGCTTCAAAAAAATCACCATGAGCCCCTCCGAAATTGCCGACCTCGAACACGCCATCGCCACCCGCCCCGCCGAATGGGCCGCCATCACATCGGCCTACTACGACCCCGTCGAACGCGCCATGCGCGTCTACTTCCCCGTGCAGCGCGCGCTGGTGCGACACGGCGGGAAGCTGATCGAGGCGAGCGACATGGGGGAGCTTGAGCACGAGGTGGTGGATGGGGATTGTGCGGTTGTGGGGCGGTATCAGACGGAGGAGGTTAAAGGGGTGAGTAACAACAGGGTGGAGGGGGGGATGATTTGGTTGAGGGAGGAGAGCAAGGTTGTGAGGAGGTATGGAGGGGGGAATGTGCATGTTTATGATTTTGGTTGTAAGTTTTTTTTCCTTCTGTTGCTGTATGGGTGAGAGGAGGGTAAGTGCTAATGTTTGATGTAGGGCGGCATGGCATGCACTCGCATGACCATTCCGAGGATGGGCTGAAGAGGCGCAAGGACGGGGATGGTGGAAGTTGTTTCCAGAACCACGGCGGGAGGGTCTGCTCGATTGTCTATGGCATCAACGAGGGGCGGTGTACGCGGCCAAAGGGGACCATCAAGGAGTGTATCGATTACAACGGGTGGCCGTTCAAGAACTGCAACAACCACAGCGACAAGAAGGCGTTTCCGATGAGCGATTGCTTTGTCGCCGTGGCGAGGGGGCATTGCTGGAATGAGGTCGAGGATGCGTTGCATGGCGATCGCTGAGGGGAACACAGTATAAGCAGATAGGATGGAAACTCACGAACACATTCGAGTGATGAAATCTTGAAATCAGACTGCGCCGAGAAAAACCGAGTGCTTGTCGTTGACACACGCCGAAACGGCAGGAGCGAGAGATGCAAAGGCCTGCCGTAGTTCCGCATCTCGGCTGCGGAGAGGGGCAATCCCGTCTGGTCGGCGTGAGTCACTTTCTCCAAGCAGCGCACGCACTGAATCTCAAGGGATTGATTCGCAAGCCGTCCGTCGCACGCAGCCCCGGCGGTGACGCGAGCTGCCGCCACGGAACCCACCCGGCCGATTGGGGCAGCGACGGAGCTTGGTCGATATTGGGTGGTGTGAGCCTCAGCGGGGCCGGTTGCTATAAGATTATCAGCCAACTTCGTGATTCGAACCTGAGGATTGGGGCATCGACGTTGTCTCTCATACTTGGATTCTCTTTTCACTTTTCTTAATTGTTCATCGTTGGCAGAGAAAAGAAAGCCCCGCGATATCGAAAAGGCACGATGACGTCAATGGCAGCCGAGTCGGTGTCGACAATTCTGGTGTCGTGCAAACAAACGCGGTTTCATATCGAGAGTCCGAATTATCGCGAGCTCGACATTGAAGGCCTAAACATCACCGTCACCTCAGGGGGGGAAGGCAGAAAAGCATCGGGGAAAGCAAGGGGCAAAGCCAAAGCATCTGAGGGCACCGAGATCCTCAGTAACGCCAAATTGCGACTCAAGGCTGGAAGTCGATATGCTCTCATCGGTCGAAACGGGTCGGGAAAGTCGAGTGAGTTTTCTGCGCATTTTATTCGGTAGTGAGATCAACACTAATGAGTGAAGCCCTTCTGCGAGCCATCGCTGAGAAGCTCATCCCCGGCATCCCTGAGAAAACAAGGGTGGCAATCCTCCAACAAACCAATGCTAGTGATGCAAACACCGAGCCGTTACCCGGGACCTCTGAAGCTGCCAGCGGCCCAACAGTGCTGGAAGATGTCATTGACAAGGCCACGGCGAGGAGTGAGCTCGAGCAAGAGATCAACGCTCTTTCAGACGGCGTCAACAGCCCCGACTCACTCGGCGCTCTGCGGGCCCTGAGAAAGCTCCGCCATGAGAGGATGCAGAAGAGGCTGTTCATCCTCGACAAGGATGCGAGGCTACGTAGCGGCGCGAGAGGTTTACAAGCACGTAAAGCCCTGTCTGAGTTCGAAAAGGAGATCGCAGCGTCCGCCGCACTGTGAGTCTCCAAGAGAATACCCCTGAGTTGTGCAAAGACGAAGCTAACAGTCCTAGGGTGGAACAACCCGAAGACGAGATCTCGCCTGAAACGCTCCAGACCGAGATCCAGGAAGCAGCCGACATGCTTGCTGAGCTTCAGATCCAGGTTGAGCCCTCCCGTCTAGCTGATATCGAGTCCCGGGCCAAGAAGATCCTCGCTGGTCTCGGCTTCACCGAGGCCTACCTCACTCGCGCCGCCTCCTCTCTTTCCGGCGGATGGCGAATGCGCAAAGCCCTCGCCATATCCCTGCTCCAGGAAACCGATATTCTGATCCTCGACGAACCCACCAACTTTCTCGACCTTCTGGGCATCATCTGGCTTCAACGGTATCTCCAATCCATCGCCGAATCTTCAGACACTCCCCCCACCCTAATCCTCGTCTCTCACGACCGCGACTTCATCGGCCTCTGCACCGACCTCTTGATCATCAAGGACAAGGACCTCGTCTACTTCCACGGCGATCTCCCCACGTACGAAGCCTCGCAGTCCGAACGCCGCCTCCACCTCATCAAGATGAAAGATGCCCAAGACAAGCAAAAGGCACACATGCAAGAAACCATCCGCCAAAACATGGCCCAGGGCCGCAAAGCCGACGACCAAAACAAAATCCGCCAGGCCAAATCCCGCCAGAAACGCCTCGACGACCGCATGGGCATGAACGTTTCGGCCAAAGGCGGCCGCTTCAAGCTCAACCGCGACATGGTCGGCCACTTCTTCAGCGCCCGCTCCGAAATTGACATCCCCCCTGAAGAACGCCCCGTCACCATCACCCTCCCCTCCCCTCCGGACCTGCGGTTTCCCGGCCCCCTCCTCTCCCTCGAATCCACCACCTTCCGCTATCCTCCTCCACGCGGCTCAAAGACCCTCCCTCCTCCCACCCTCTCCGACATTACCCTCTCGGTCCACATGGGCGACCGCATCGGAATCCTGGGTCTCAACGGCGCCGGCAAATCCACCCTCATCCGCCTCCTCGTCGACGAAGCCAAACCCACCCGCGGCACCATCACCAAGCACCCCCGCCTCAAGCTAGGCTACTACTCCCAGCACGCCGTCGAAGCTCTGCAATCCCTCGGCCGGTCGGAAACCGATCTGACTGCCTTATCCCTGCTCACCCGCGAAATCGAGGGCGCCCTCGATGAAGGCGAGATCCGCAGCCTTCTCGGCTCGCTTGGGCTGCCGGGACGTATCGCTTCGGATATCCCCGTTATTAAACTCTCCGGTGGGCAGCTCGTGCGCTGCGAGTTGGCGCGCATTCTGTGGAAGAGGCCGCATTGTCTGGTGCTGGATGAAGTGACGACGCATTTGGACTACGAGACAGTCACGGCGCTGCGAGAGGCGTTGAGGGATTGGGAAGGGGCCGTGGTGCTGGTTAGTCACGACAGGTGGTTTATGAGGGGGGCGATTGAGGGGGTTGTGGACGAGGGGGGGAGTGAGGACGAAGATGAAGAGGAGGAAGAGGAGGGGACGGTGAGGAGGAGGGTGGTGTATAGGTTGCGGCAAGGGAAGATGACTGTTCTGGAAGGGGGAGTACAGGAATTCGAGGATATCATGGAGAAGAGGGTTAAGAAGTTGTTGGCTGATTAGCTCGGTAGGATGTTGGGGTTGATTTGAAGAGACATGTGTTGTGCTGTGTCATTGCTATCATTGCTGCGCATCTGTGGATATCTATCCCTGAATCCATTCCCAAACCATAAGTAAAAGCAGTTCACCCCCACCCAAAGCCCCTTACAAACCCTCCCTAAACAAATCACAAAACTCCCCTCCCAACCAAAACCCT